GAAGCGGCATGGGCGAGCGATGTGCTGGCCGCGGCTTCTCGCCGCCCCCATTGGCCCGGGACGGCGAACCGCGGCCAGTGGGGGCTGCGATCGGCCGAACCTGCCGCGTCAGCAGGTAAATAAAACTGGCCCGGCCCGCCAGGGTGCTTACCCTGGCTAGCCGCGTGCCGAACGTTGCCGACCCCTGCTCTAGATCCTCCTTCCTCACTTCTTTGAAGAATATATTGGATTTGGGGGAGGGAGGGACTACATGCCTTCTTACATACCCTTGCCTGGAGTGTTCCCTGGCTTGAAACAGAGCTTTCTAGAGGGTTCAAGGTTTGATGTGAAGGGCACAGGTGCTTGGGTGTCACACCCCTAAAGCCACAGCTGGTGTACCCAATAAAGAAGATAGAGACAGGGACCAAAATATTGGGTGGTGCTAGTTTTTCTCTCTACTCTAAGAAAATCTAATAAACACCTTGTTTCAGAATGAAGATTGTGATGCTGGGCCAGATTCCAAACACGGATCTATACAGAAGTTTATCTGACTACAAAGCAGTAAGAGAAAAAACCTAATACTCAGTCCCTCTCTGTAATCCAGTTTCTTCACTTGGGCACCTGTGAGTGATCCATCGGACTCAGTTCGTTCACTTCAAGCCTTGAAAATCTGTAAGGATTTTTGAATATTGGCAGCGAAGAGTGATACAAATTGCCCAAAGATAGGGAGATGGGTCTGACTTGTCACTTTGGGAGCTCATTCTATCGATACAGGCTCCACCAGTAATGAAAGGCTTGCTCCCTGTCATTGCTGGAACTATACAGAATTTATTGCTGATCTGCTGTCCTTAGTCAGGTTTTGCCTACGCTAGGAAAATGACCCATTTTTCACAACAGATGTCAATAATGGCTGTGTCTGTGTGACAGATTTTTTTTACCAATTCGCCATTGGATTGTGACATCTATACTAGAGTTTCTTAAAAATTCTCCCAGCAGTGGTAGCAAGAGCAGGGCACTGGTATTTTTACCATAATGTTATTGACCCTACTGTTTGCAGATCTGGATAATGCTGTGGTGAACAGCAATGTCTACATTAGTACTCCCCTTATTGCTAAACTCATGGAGCTGCAAAGGTGGGAGAACTTAAAAAAAAGTTTGGTGTAGACAAGGTGTAGGGTATTTTCACTAATGAGTTTTGAAGACAATATGGCTTGTCCTGGTCAGAGGAGACCCATTGTCAATGTCAGCCGTGGATCATTTTTCTAGCGTAGGCACAAACCTCAGAGACTCGGGTTTTGTCTTCCAGGCAGCAGAGATTGAAGGTGTGAAAATCTTCCAGTGTTGTTCCTCCATCTCCTTTGCAAATATGAGACATTTCAAAGGCTACTTGTTACATAAGGTAAACCCCACTTTTCCAATCACCATCAGCTTCTGACCTCCTCCATTGGAAGCACACAACCCTCTCTGATACACGGTCTGTCTTTTTCAGATGGATGTGAAAGCAGTGCCCCTGGATGAAAATGAAATGAGATCTTTAATCTCAGTTAGTCTGTCTAGCACTGGATTGGAGAGAAAGGATTTGAAGTGTGCCTGTGTTTGTGATCCACCTGAGCCATTACCCAGGGTCAGCTACCTTTTTTTTTTTTTTTTTTTTTTTAAATAATTATCTAGCCAGGGCACCAAGACATTGTGACACTGAGGGCCATGTCATTAGCTTGCCTGAAGGCCATACCTAATTGCATATACATTTGCATATATTTGCAAACCAAAAATAAGTAAGTACAACCCTTATATTTGCTCTCAAACCTTATATTTATTTATATCTTCCATGGTAGATGAATTGAAATTTTGCTTGTTGGTTGAATTGACCAACAGTGGGAAAACCCAACATGTTTACCTTCCTTTCTGGGGCTGAAAAAACTAACTTTGTCAGATGCCTCAACAGGGGTTTGCTTTCCTTTTCCCACACAAGTCAAAGACTGTCTTTGGCTGCCTGAAGAATTCTAGCCACTCCTAATGTGAGATACCCACAAATGCATGATCACTAAAGACGTCAAATCCTACTAGTCACAGTCTCCGTGATCAGAGGATTTCTCCTCTCCTTATTACGAACTCTGTTGAGTGCCTTCTGTACGGCCAGTCGCATGCCCCATAATCGGAATTTGACAGTATCATAAGCAAATGGATGGAAGAGGCTTCAGGACAATATTCTTAATTCTCTAAATTATCCAAGGCACTTTGTAAAAGATAACAAAAGCCCCTTGTGGGGAAGCAGTTTTGGAAGGATGGACAGGACTGAGCTTCTGAAGGAAGTCTGTGATCGCTTTGAACTGCCATCTTCTTCCAAAGTGCCAAGCTGCAGTGTGTGAACCTTTCAGCTGCTTTTAACTCTTTTTCTAGTGTAAAAGCCAAACTTGGAGCTATTCAGTATTTCAAACTTAACTTTTTAAAAAAGGAATTGAGTTA